GAACTCATTATGCAAATCAGGTTGGCCTTGAACTCAGAGACCAGTCTGCCTCTGCCTCCCAAAAAGGCACCCAACTTTTGCTTTAAGCAGTGCCAGGCTAAGAACATAACAAATATTGAATAGTTAGTATGTTCTTGATTTGCTATGGGAAAGATCAATGATTTATGTATGCACGATTCTTTGTAGATGTACCTTATCAGTATAGTGCTATCTAAAATAGCTTAAACCACTAGTTGAGTATAAATGAGTTTTGCTGCATAATAACCCCCAAACAGTACTAACAATTAAGATTTATTTTTTTTTAAAAAACTCTTGTCTTTTTTTCCATAAGCATCTAGTAAGGGGTCAACATTTTGACTACATTTAGTTAGATAGGCTGGCTTTTATAAAGCCCCTTCTCTTTATATTTACTAAAGAATAATAGAATTAGTAGACAATATCGCTTCAGAAAAAATAAATACAAAATAGTCTGAAACAATTACCCAAAAGTAAAAAGTCACAAAAATCAGACTACTAGTCTTCATTATTGACAAATTCATTTCTTCTAAGACCAAATATGTTATTCTATTGTATTTTCTTTCATTTTTGTTATCTGCCATCACTCAAAACAATACTTCCCTACCCCTCAACTGGGGCCCTCATGGAAAACGAAAAATCAGAATCTCTTTTCTACTCTCCTAACATCTGTCCCTCTATTAAGAAGATAGGGAGGTAGGAGCATTTGTTTAGTGGATTGCTACTTGTCATTGAAGGACACTGCATCTAACCTGTCTCCCAGTGCAAAAAAAGATTTTAACTCTACTACAAAGTCTCAAGTATCAAATGCATAATCCTAGTGTCACACCCATTTTCAAATGAATGTTGTCGGAGCTTTACATAAAAAATATATTAATGCTGCATTTATTCTTAGGGGTACATATTAACCCTATTTCTAATACTTGTAAAATGACTTCTTACAAAGATGATTTATAGATTTATGATCCCATTGCCTTCTTTTACTTACATGAAAAAAAAACTGTACTAAAAATAGTTACTTGGAATATGTTCCATCCCTATACACATAAGTGCTTATTTTCTTTAAAATAATAAACATTTGGCCCAAATTAATTAGTTCTCAATTAAAAAATATGTAGCAGTAAATATAAAAGGCTAAACACCTATTGATATAGCTGTAGGATTTTCAGCTTCTTTGGAAAATCATTGGTCTTTTTAGATCTATGTTTCTGACTAATGTATATTTTAGTAGTTAGATATTTCTAATGAATGACTGAATCAACAGTTTTTATATTAAATGTCATGTATACATTGATTTTATACTTTTTTTTGGGGGGTCTTTTGAGACAAGTTTGTTTGTGTAGTCCTAGCTGTACTGGAACTCAGAGATCCATGCACCCCTGTGCCTCTGCCTCCCAAGTGTTGGGATTAAAGGCGTGGCTTGACTTTATACTCTGACTATCTACACCTTGGTAGGAATGCTTTCCCAAGGTTTTAGGAACAAGACAGTATCTTGCTTGTGATTTACTCATTACTGGTAAAGCTGAAAGATCAAAATCACCTCCATGATGTAATAGACTGAACAAACAGATTCAAGTAAGGAGCTTTCAGATTTTTAAACTTATGTGCTGGGAAACCTAGGAGATTTTTCTGTAACATAACTCTTAAAAGGGGTCTGTAGGTTTTACAGCACAACAAGAGGACAGTGTTGTTCCTGGTATGTATTTAAATAAATCTTTTTACTTAAACTTCAAGTTTAAAAAGACAGAACATTAAGTATATGTGAAATCCAACTAATGAACACATTTGTGTTTATAGCACATACCAAAACACACCAGTTAGCAATACTAGTCATTAGCAAACTATTCAAATTAAACAAGTCACTAAAGAATCCTTACAATAACCAGGGTTTCAACTGTCAGTTAGACAGTTGACAGTTCACAATTATAGCCATTCATGAGTTCCTGGAATGCTACCTTCAAAGTTCACACTGGTCAGTTATTTATGGAACACAATCTGTACTGTGCTCCATTTAGTACCAGTAATAGCTTACATTCTCCTTTCATTTACAGTAAAGGAGTCTGTTAAATGTATAGATAGTTTAAACAAATTTTGTAATGTTCACTGTAAAAGTGGCTACACAATTTTTTTATCGACCATCATTACAACCACCAGTTTATACAAATTCAACCTGAGAAGTCTTAATGTGTAATAATAATTTTCTAATCAAAATGGCTGGAAAAAAGCTGGGCGGTGGTGGCGCACACCTTTAATCCCAGCGCTCGGGAGGCAGAGGCAGGCGGATCTCTGTGAGTTTGAGACCAGCCTGGTCTACAAGAGCTAGTTCCAGGACAGGCTCCAAAACCACAGAGAAACCCTGTCTCAAAAAACCNAAAAAAAAAAAAAAAAAAAAAAAAAGGCTCGGGGGAAAAAAAATCTCACAATTTGATACTTAATAATGTAGGGTCAGCAGGCAAGATAACTGGGAAACCTTTGCATCAGCCCTTTTAAAGGTGTCGTAGTAGTTGTTTAATATAAATGATCTCAAAATTGATTCAATATAGGCCCTTATATGGAACCAAAACTACGGAAGAACTTCAAATATATGAACCTAAATTAACCCACCTCGTTAACCTCCCATTTCCCTTCTTTTGTTTAAAAAGAGAACAAATTTGGAATTTTAACAAAAAAATGAATATTTACAAGTATTTCTTTAGGATCTAAATGTATTAACCTACTCAAGAAGTTTAAGACATACTTCCTCGTGATCTCACCAATTTATATGATATTTGAAGGATTATAAATAATACTGCAAGATTTTGAGAAAGTAACCTCAAATTATACTAAAAGTAGTATTTCTAGTTAGGACTGTTCTTTAAAAGGTATTCATCTGGTTAATTTAAACGTGTGCCTCGAAAATCGCTATTTTCAAGTGCAAAACTTCTGAATGTTCTCTTTTGCAAAGACTTTCTTTAAAAACAAAACAAAAAACCAAAACCCCTATTTCTAATTAATGGATTCATGCCTTCACCAGGTGTGTCGGTTCATGACAAAACATCAAATGTGTAAGATTACATCTTGGAAAGAAGAATATTAAAAATCAATGTAAAACTGATAATATGCAATGCAGAATTTAAGGTTGGGGTAAAGGAGAAAGTAGCACATTCAGAATGGGACCACACACAATCAAATCCTTGAAAAGGACCAACTGATGCAGTAGCTGAGAACAATGATGTAGCACCATCTGCAGCTAAAACACTGTTATATTTGGAATTATGATTTCTGGGATTACTTTAACTACAGTAAGGAAAAATATATGCACCTGTAGCACGTATTCAAAAGGAATGTTTCAGAGTTTCCATCTGTCAAAAGATTTCTACTTCACTACATTATTTATCATCCTTTTAATTTCTGAGGAATATGTTATGAACTGTAAAGTGTGTGAAGAGGAAAGATGCATTCTTCATGCAACAGGTTTTATGTGTGAAATAGGAGGTTGGGGAAAGTCACTTATTGAAGAGGTACAGATCAGAAAGGGAAAGTTAAAGGTAATTTATCAACTTTGAAAATATAGGTTCCTGATAGTCATAAAAGACAAGGTACCATCAAACTTGAAAGGGAGACTCCACCTGCCCTCCCAGTGAAAACAGGAGCAACTAGAAAATTGAAGAATTTTTTTCAGTTGCTTCGAAAATCAGTTTTTGTTTCATTTTTTTTTAAACTTGGTAATCCCACCTCTATTAAAATTTTCAATGACTAGCTAAGCTGACTAGCTAGCTCACTTATGAACACTGAGTTCTCAAGTGCAAAGACTTCCTAAAACTTGGCTACAAAATTCATTAACTCTGAATTACAAAAACAGAAATGAATGAATTCCAGTAATCACTTTTAAAACCAGCAGAAGAATATATAGAGTAAAACAGGGATAAGGAGAAGTAAAACGATAAGAATGTGAGGGATTAAAGTATACTATTTCAGGGTAGTCTTCTACATACCAATGATTCTACAAACTCATACTATGTTTTGATTCTTTTAGCAATTGAATTAACCTCTCTCAAAAACCTTCAAGTGTAAGAAGATGCCCTACTCTTTCTCTGTAATTTTTAATGTAGTGCTAAAATGTTGCAATTAAGGTTTTAACAAGGTTGGAATTATATAATGTCAAAGGTCTACATGACAGCTCCTAAAAAAAGACTAAAATTCCTCATTAGGCCATAACCAAACAAACTGCTATAGAACAGTGTAGCAATACACTGGCTTTCATCTAAAATATTAAAAAGGCACTCCTTACACTCTAGGTGGAGGGCGTTGGTTAAGGACATACCTTTCAAAAACTGTAGTTTCTACTACAGTTTAAGCACTTTGCACCTCCCTTCCCTATCTTAAAGACTTCTGCTTAAACAAAAGAAGTATCTCTGAGAAGCTACTGGGAATCCTCAAGACTCCTTTTTGTTAAAAGTCTGTCTGACAGATTGTCAAAGACAGATTTCACATTTTACACCCTCTCTCTCTCTCTCTCTCTCTCTCTCTCTCTCTCTCTCTCTCTCTCTCTCTCTCTCTCTCTCTCTCTCTTCTTCCCAAATTCACTGATGGGAGAAGTACGTTTATTCCCTACTCTCGGCCCCAACTAGAAGGCCTTCTGGTTTTCAGTCTCAATTTCCAAACTAACTTTGGCCAAACTCTGCCATAAGCACTCAAAAGTACTTAACACCTTAGGAAGGGACACCATTACTGATGGGAGGGGCACACTAGCATTTTTAAACTGTGAAGCTGAAATACACCAAGACATTGAATTACTATCTAACTTTTAAAAACAATAAATAAAACAAAAACCTTGACCATGTCTCCTTACACCTCTAGTTTAAAACTTTGTATTGATTTTACTAAATTAAACTCTGCAAAGAAAAATATAGGCCTCAAGTGAAAAAAAAAATCTCCCCAAGCTGTATCCTAAGCTATTTGGATCAAGCAATCTTAGCAGATATTTAACATAAAAATTACCATACCTGTCTTCATCACCATCAACAGGAATAGCTATGTTGAACACAGAGCTGGCCAGACTGTTCATAGGTGTTAACTGAAGGGGGTTTGCCAGGGCATCTGCAACTGGAGGCTTCACAACAGGCTTATTTTCAGCAATGAGAGAAAGTGGTGGTTGAGGTAGGGGTTCTGATTTTCTTCTAGTATCGTCAACTTGCCCAACTAAAGGCTGGGTCTGAGTCTGAAACTGGCTTAGGTCAGACTGTGGTAGGCTCGTTGGTGCACTGTGTGTGCCTTGCGCTAAGGGCGGCCCAACTTGTTGGATGACGCTGCTGCTCCGGCTGACTGGCGTGTGGCTGCTCAGCGGCTGAGACTGGCCCAGAGGCGCGGGTACATTTGGCATAGTAACAGAAGTGGTGGGCACACTAGGCACGCTTGGAGCGGGTACCGCGGCAGGCACGTTTGGAACTCCGGGCACCACGGTGTGAGGACCACCAGGCACGGCTGACAGCTGACCACTGCCCCCCATCTGCGGCGGAGGCTGCACGGACTGGGGCTGCCCAGCCCCGGGAAGCCCCGAGCCTGGCTGCACCACGCCTCCCAGAGCAGCTGGAGCCACTCCCGCCGGCTGACAAGGAGCGGCCTGGACGCCAGGAACCGGACCTGGAGCTTCACTGGGCTGGGAAGGGGCGCCCATCATCTGCACACCCAAGGAGGAGACGCTCTGGCCAGAGCCCAAAGGAAAGCTGGCCGCCGAAGCCGAGGTCGCGCCAGCGCTTGAGGACAAGGGCTGCGCAGGGCTGGGTGGCTGCAGGGCCACGTGCGGCTGCAGGTACTCGCTCTGGCCCGGGGGCTGCACGGGCACCAAATGCCCGGGTGCTAGCTGAGGCTGGGGATACCCGAACTGCTGGGGATGGTGCGGCAGCGAGGAGCCCACCGCCGGGCCCGGCTGAGCGGCCAGGCCCACTGGCGGCGCCAGGTTTACATTCGTCGGTGGCAGAGCCTGGCCAACAGGCCCCGGGAGGGCGCCGCCGGCCACGGCTCCCTGGAGCTGGGTTGGCAGAGCTCCTGCCGGCATGGGCTGCGGCCCGGTCGCCGCTCCCGGGAACGGCGGCAGCGGTGCCGAACTTGGAGCCACAGCCCCACCTACGGGCGGCGGAGGCTGCGGCTGCCCAGCGCTGAAACTCTGCGGCTGGGCGAGAGTGGGCTGGCTCATTTTCTCCGACGGGGGTAGCTGTGACACAGCAGTCAAGGAGCTGTCAGTTCCCGAGTCCAGCCCGTGCGCCCCCTGCATGGAGGCCACCACCACCACCACCGACCCTCCGGTGGCGCCCAGCCCGCTGTCCCGCTCGGCAGTCTGCTCCAAAGTATTGCTGTGGCGGATGCAATCCCCGGAGCGGGTACTATCCGAATCCCTCTCGTAGTATTCCATACACGTCCATCGGCCGCGCCGGTACGGCTCTCCGCTCCCGTGGTCCAGCTTGATCACGCGGAAACGGGAACTACAAGTGGCGGGGGGCTGAGATGGAGTTGCACTACCCGGGCCCGGGGCGGACACCGGAGTGGTGGCCGTCGCCAGGGTCTGGGCGAGAGCCCCCGCCACGCTCCGGGCCGACACGCCGCCGCCTCCGCCTCCGTTGGCGGGCGCAGCTGAGGCGGCGGCCAGCTGCCCATCCAGGATGAGGTTCGGGGACACGGTCCCGGGAGTTTCCGTATCCCCGACATTGTTGAGCGTCTCTTCGGAGGAGCTGCGCTCGCACACCTCCTCGGGGCCGTAATCGGTGGCCCGAGAGACGTCGAAGATCTCCGAGGACACGTCCTCGGTGCGCGACTCGTCCGGGTCGTCCAGGCTCTCGGTGTCCTCGGTGATGCTGGTGGCCACCTGCGCCGTGGTGACACTGGTTATCTGGAAGCAGCTCTTCTTCTTGGCCGGCATCTTGGACATGGTGGAGAAGGCTGGGAGGGCAGAAGCTCCTCTGGGATCCCACCGGAAACCGGGAAGGGCCGAGCACGGGGGCCCCCAAAGACAAAGTCCGAGTTCGCGCCTGGGTCTACGGCCCGCGCCGCAAGTCACGGGCTGCTCTGGGCGCCGGCCTCTCGGCGCCACATCCTCCTCCTTCCGTCTCACCTCCCCGCGGCCGCGGCGCCTCGCTTCAAGCCGGCAGGGGACCGCTCGAGCGTGCTTCAGGGGCGGGCCGGCTGCTCGCCAGGCTCAGCCGCCGCGGTCAGTCCAGCCCGGTGCTCGGCGCGGTCAGCAGGCCCGGCTGGGGGTGGAGCGCGGGGCGCAGGAGGCGGTGGTGGCGGCGGCGTGAGGGGCGGTTCTGCCCCGCTCGGGCTCCCTCCGGCCGGGGCCCGCGGCTGCTCCCGCGCGGCGACGCGGACGAAGAAGAAGAAGGCGGAGCGGCGAGGCCGGGAGCGGCGCTTCCCGACGGGGGCTGGAGGTCCCGCGGTGGGAGGGCAGCCCTCCGTCCCCGGCTCTAGCCAGAGCGCAGCCCGGGGGCCATGCCGGCGGTGGCGGCGGAAGCCCGCTCGGGGGCGGGGAGGACCGGCAGTCTGGTCTCCCTCAGGGAGCCACCCGCGGCGGCGGGGCCCGGCCTCCTCGCGGCTCAGGCGTGTGAGGGGCGGCGGCGGTGGCTGAGGGAACGGCAGGCGGGCAGGCGGGCGGGCGGAGGCGCTCGGCGGCGTGAGGAGGAGGAGGAGACCGGTGGCGGCGTCTTCCGCTTCGCCTCGGCGCGGCCGGCTTCGTCAAGCCCGGAGAAAAAAACTGAAATTCAAACTGCTGAAGCAGCGGCTGCAGCTCCCTCCCCTCAGTCAAGATGGGGCTGAAATGGCCGCGCCAGGGATGCTGGGAGGAGCAGCAGCAGCCCCGCAGCCGCCGCCGCCGCAGACTAAAATGCCGCCGCTGCCGCAGCCACCGCCAGCGCCGCAGCCGCCGCCGTTCCGTGACGCGCCGGCGTCGTGACGTCACCGCCCGCCCCGCCCCCTCCGGTTTCCTGCAGCTTCGCGTGGAGGCTGGAAGGGGGTTCGTGGGCGGGGCTACGGGCTAGAGAGAAAAGGGGGAGCGGGTTCTTTATTTAAAAATTTTCAAATTTAAATTTCACGCCGCAGGTTCATGAGGAGTTGAGAGGCCGAAGGACGGTTTCAGATTGCGAGCCTGGAGAATCGCACGGTTCAGTGCCGGTGCGCGGAGATCCTGGATGACTGCAGGTCATGTGCCGCGTCTAACGTTTAGCATAGTCTAAATGGAACCAGGGCGCTAGGGGAGAAAACTAGGGCGATCCAGCGGCAGAAGAGGTGTATGACTGGAGAAAACGCGTCACGTTAAAACGCCTTGAAAATATATGCTTGCCACCGTAGTCAGAAAAGTGAAATTTGAGCGAAGCCAGGGTGACTAACGCAGGACCGCACACCAGATTGAGTTAGAAAGGCGATCTTTCAGACGGAAATTCTGTCTTCAGCGACAGCATCGGGCATGGTTACTTGCTGAGAGTAAAGTCGGTTTTAGAAGAGGTTAGGAATTAATAACGTATTCCAAGTTTTCCTGAATTTGCTGTAGTTCAAGACTGGAAGAGTTCCTTTGAACTTTTGAGACGTTGAACATAAAGTCAGCTTATGGGTTCCAAAGATGCACTGGACTCTTATTGGAGCCGTATTGATTGATTGTTTTTAGAGCCACGCTGTTACTTGGTTTGCTTTGGACCATGCACAATGAATGGCACAGACAGTAGCTCTGAAAGTGGAGTGGAATTAATCATCTTGTAGATCTGCTTTACAACCAAAAATCATGAGGCCATTCCTTTTTTAATTTGTATTTATTTACTTATTTTTTGAGACCCGTGTGTAGTCTTCCAGCTCCCTACTTAAACCAAAGTGGCCTTGAACTTGTTCTCTTGAACCAAAGAGGCCTTGGAGCAGAGCTTCCTGCCTCTGCCTCCCAAGTGCAGAACTCGCGCCACCTCTTTGGGAGGGCAAGGAAGTATTTTTAAACACTGGGCACTCTTGAACTCTGAAAGACGAAAGACAACGCTCGTTTAGCAAAAGTCTGAGGAGTTTGGCTGGAAACCAAGCTGCCGGATTTATCGCAGCTTTTAGAGATCAGATCAGCTGACGTCTAAGTTCGTTTACTCAGTTATCTCATCCTGAAAGGACAGACAGTACTCTCTGGTCCAAAAATGGGTCGAGAATTAACATTTGCACAGAATGTTTTAGGTACTTAGCTGTAGTTTATGGAGGTAGATCTTTTCAACTCAGTAGAAACCCAAGTGACAGAAGTCAGTATAGGAGCCTGGTAAATACATCCCTGTTTCTTGAGGGGGCAGGAAAGTAAAGGAACAGTGTTAGATTATGCTGATGTTGTGGCAAAGATAGCTGATGGAATGCTTCCTTTATAAATCTATAATTTCAGGGGCTGGAGAGATGGCTCAGAGGTTAAGAGCATTGCCTGCTCTTCCAAAGGTCCTGAGTTCAATTCCCAGCAACCACATGGTGGCTCACAACCATCTGTGATGGGGTCTGGTGCCCTCTTCTGGTCTGCAGGCATACTATTGTATACATAATAAATAAATAAATAAATAAATAAATAAATAAATATTTTTTTTAAAAATCTATAATTTCAGTAATTTAAAATTATTGGCTTGTTAAATCTAATGTGAATTTAAAATAGCTTATTTTAATTTTGATGTTAAATTTGGTTATCATTTGGGTATTATTGACCATGCTTTTTGGAAAAACAAAAATCCTATGCCTAATCATGGCATTACTTTATTTTATTATATAAACCTTGTCATTATTAGTTATTATATCTTCAGCCACACATTTAAAGAGGAAAAGTAATTAGTAAGTATTCCTTCCTAAAGAGCATTTTACTATAAAATGAAAGTAAAGATAAAACTAATATGAAGAAATGAGCGCATTTATAATACAGAGAGTAGATGTTCTTAAAAATTTAGAATTCTTTCATTTATTTGTTTATTTATTTATTTATTTATTTATTTATTTATTTATTTTCGAGACAGGGTTTCTCTGTAGTTTTGGGGCCTTGTCCTGGAACTACTGTAGACCAAGCTGACCTTGAACTCTGTCCTTTTTTTTTTTTTTTTTTTTTTTTTTTTTTTTTTTTTTTTTNTTTTGATTTTTCGAGACAGGGTTTCTCCGTAGCTTTTGCTTCCTGTCCTGGAACTAGCTCTTGTAGACCAGGCTGGCCTCAAACTCATGTAGATCCGCCTGCCTCTGCCTCCCGAGTGCTGGGATTAAAGGCGTGCGCCACCACCGCCCGGCTTGAACTCTGTCTTTTAATAAACAAAGCAGTCCCTAGGAAGAGACACAGACAGAGAGACACACAGAGAGAATTTATTACTTCAAACTGTTAGGAAGAAATGAAAAAAAAATTATAGTTGTTGTAAGGAATTTTGAAATCACTGAACAGATCCCCAAACTATAAAAAAATATGTACTTCGTAGTTGCTCCACAAAGAATTAAGTCTACAAGTAACCAAAACAAACAAACAAACAAACCACAGCACTCAGTGTAGTAGCGCGTGCAGGCCACTGCTTTTGCTAGGGTGTAGAAAGTTGTTAATAAATAACATGGCAGCCCTAGCTCATTGGAACTGGAGAGGTCCCTAGAGAGCCAGACTTAAAGGCTTTAATGCAACTAACCTGGCGCCGTGCCGTACCCACAAACTATGCAGTAGAGGTTGTGGGAGTCCTTGATTACCGCTCTCTTAGCCCCCAGCTTGACCATTTACCTTACCTCTTCCTTCCCCCCAAAGATTTCAACTTCCAGCTGTGTATTGGAAGTACATTTAGAAAGAATACCATAAGGGAAAACAGCAGTAAACACGGATGCCCCCTTTCTCTGATGAAAATACAGTTTCAACGAGCCTTCTCTTATTTGCAAACAGCTTTCTTCTGCCAGGCCATTGCCTTACAGATTGGTGTGATGGCAAATCATTTCATAATTGCCAGATTGGTAGAGTGTGAGCAGCAGGCTCTCGTTCTCAAGAAAACCTGACATCTTCATCCCCCAGTGAATAATGACCCAAAAAATATAATAATACTGTCAGGAGACATTAAGCAACTGTCTAGGTAGGGAAAACAACTGTTCAGTAGTGATCCCTAAACCAGGGACATCCGTTGTGCACCGGATAGCCTATACTCCAGCCAACAAGTTATTCTCGGATAAAGAAAAAGCTAACGTTTGTTTTCTATGTTTTTAATCACAAAATTATTAGAAAAATACAAAATGGAGGAATGTTTTTCAGCTTTTTTCAAAGGAATCCATCACAAAATAAAGAGTTGTCTCAGCAAGTGTCACTGGTTTATTGCTTTGGGTTTCTGGTGCTGCATTTCTGAATGAAGCAATATCACATTAATAAGTGTGATAAAAGTGAGACCATTGTGGGATATTATCCAAAATGGTGGGAGAAATAAAACGAGGAAGAACTAAGGTGAATGGAAATCCTTGGCTCGTTTTGTAAAGGAAAACTCAAGCGTACTGAGGTATACAAATTCTTACTTAAAGTAGCTCTTAGACATGCCTAGGATTTGATACACTGCGAAATAATAATGATCGCTATTCATTTCGTCATGGTGAAAAGCTCACTGAAAAACTCCAAATGCCTTTGAAGCTAAGGTAAAATGTAGCAGTTTGCGTTTGGATCTGATGAATGTAATGGTCAGATATGAGCAAATATTTATTTTGAATCTCTGATGTACGATGTCCCCTGTATGCTGTGAATGTGTTTTGTTACCATTGGTTAATAAAGTAGCTGATTTGGCCAATAGCCAGGCAGAATAGAGCCAGGTGCAAAATCCAAACAGAGATACAGGGAGAAAGAGGACAGAATCAGGGAGACACCAGTAGCCTCTGGGGAAGCAAGATGTGAGGTAATGCCGTGGACATGTGGCAATACATAGATTATTAGAAATGGGTTCATTTAAGATATAAAATCTAGTTAGTAATAAGCCTGAGCTATCCACCAAACAGTTTTTTTTTTTTTTTTTTTTTTTTTTTTT